TTTTATATATATACACACACACACACACACAAAATAGCCAAACCATTTTTAGATATATCATACCCATAAATGCTTTTATTTGAAAAAATACCATTAATAAAATAAAGATAAGGTCAAGAACTAGAAAAAGAGCTATGGAGTAAACAGAAAGTAGAAAAAAGGAAATGACAGAGAAAAAATTAAGGAATAGAAAACAAAGTTATAGTAGAGTGAATTAACAAAGCCGAAAATGATTTATTAAAAATTATAACAAAATAAACAAACCTTAGGTAAAATTAAAATAAGAGCAAAACTTAAAATATGTGAACAAAAGTATAAACACAAAAGTAAGAGAATGATAAAAATATAATGTTTGTGCCACTAAATATGAAAACATAGACATTATGAACAATTTCTTCGGAAACTACAACTTGACTAATCAGACTCAAGAAAAAAAAACTGGACAGGTTTATACCTTTTAATAATATAATTACTTCTCAAAAATCACTCAAAGAGCCACTAGACACAGATAGCTTTAGAATAAAGTTCTAAAAATGATTGAAGATAAAGTATTTTGAAATATAAACTGTTTTTAAAAATGGACAAAAATATTTTATTCATTTTATGAAAGTGTAATCAGAGAATTATAATTGAAAAAATATATTATGAAAAAGGGGGAATACAGGCCATTCTTACTCTCAAACATGGTTACAAATTTTATAAATTAAATATTAGCAAGCATATTTGGTAATCTTTTAAAAAGTTTTAATACGGCTAAGTTGAGCTTATTCTAGGAGGGCAAGGATGGTTTTATATTAAAAATTTATTCCTGTAATCCACCAAATATCAAAATAAAGCAATTACTAAAATTGTTAAATACCCTAAAATCATCTTAACAGGTATGAAAAGGAACTTAATCATGTGAAAAGCACCCAAGTGGAGAAGAGGGACAATACTGTTTTTAAGAAAACAATGAAACAGAAACACACCAAAAAGATACGACACAAAATCAATAATGCTTAATAATATGATTTCATGTCATATGCAGTGAAAGTTATAAAAGAACAAAGCAAACTAATGAATTGATAATCAAGAGGTAAGGGTTTAAGATAATCTCTGTTGGAAGTCAGATTTAGTAAATAAAATATAAAGGGAGATATGGGAAATTTGAATTAAAAATGCTATCTTAATTACTTACATACACATAAACAGAGGTGAAAACAGACAATACATATTCTTTCCAAAACCAATAAGCATTTATAAATGTTGAACAATTAGCAACCCGAAAAGTAATTTTCTGGTTCTTAAAATATGATATCATATGGGCTACAATCAGTATCTGTAATTTTAAAGTATCTGAAATGACTAATAAAAGAGAAATTTTAAATATAATCAAGGAGAAAAAAATCACAAATTGCATTATAAGGACAAAAGGTGAAAACTTTCTAGGCTATTACTCCATATCTGTGGCTTAGTATGGTAATTGCTTCTGATAACATATTCCTGTAGCATCTAACTCTCCTGGATCTCATCACTCCATTGATACCAGGTAACTCAATCCCAGTTCAGCACCTCTCATCACCAAATGTTCTATCAACTCTGACCACCACTGTGTGTTTCAAGGATGCTGGTATCTTCTTCACTAATGCTTTTCTTTTCTTTCTTTTTTTTCTTTTTATGGAGATGGAGTTTGGTTCTGCTGCACAGGTTGGAGTGCAGTGATCTTGGCCCACTGCAACTTCTGCCTGCTTGGTTCAAGCGATTCTCCTGCCTCAGCCTCCTGAGTAGCTGGGATTACAGGGGCCCACCAGCATGCCCAGTTTTGTTTTGTTTTGTTTTGTATTTTTAGTAGAGACAGGGTTTCACCATGTTGGCCAGGCTGGTCTGGAACTCCTAATCTCACGTGATCCGCAGCCTCCCAAAGTGCTGGGATTATAGGCCTGAGCCACCACACTTGTCCATGAGTGCTTTTCTTAATGCCCTATTTAAAATACCTTCAGAAGCTTCTTGTGAATATGATTGGGGCTTGGCTAAGAAGAGTACACAAAACATATCCTCTTCAACATTTCCATCTCCCTGAATTTTTAGACTCCTCCTATGGCATATCAGGGAAATGAAAGCATTTTAACCACATATCTATAAATCAGCTTTGAATCCAGACTTGAACTTGCTAACTTAACAGACTTTTAATGCCACTTGTATTTGTTCAACCAAAAACATTCATTTTTAATTTTAAATGAATATATCCATAAATGTACATTTGACAGGATCAATTTTATTTCATTCTTTATGGTCTAACACCCTTAGCATCTACTTCCATCCACGGTCTCTAGATTACTCCGGATTCACATAGGTTAAGAAATGCTTCTTAAATTGCAGATTGACATCTATTTCTCATTAAGAAACCAGGGACCTTAAGAAGGTATAATGGGAGTGGGTGAAATTGCTTGTGAGACAACTGTTCCAGATGAAATATTTTATTATTATTTTATAATGAGTACCAAAGCTCTTAATGGTTGCAAAAATGAAGAAAAGAAGGTCTACTTCTTTTGGCAAGGGGAATCCAAAGGTACTTTAGTTGTTGACCTTGTCCTTCCCTAGCAAATGTTCAATCCATACTTCTGAGTCTTAATACTTTCCCTCAGTGCCCTTGATTTAGCAAAAGACAAAGTACTCTGAATATTTGTCACTGCAACTATGTAGCTTTTTTTCTCAGCTAGATGTGGAACTCCGCATTTCAATTATAGGAGATAGAGACTCAGAGTTGCTATCAAGGCTAGTTGTTCATTCTCACATTTGGTTATATACAGATTTCAGTTTCTCTGTTTCCTTACCTCACATACCTAGGATCATGGGTGGAAGTGAGCAATTTCCATCACCTTGAGTTAGCTCTTGTCTCCATAATGCCTCACTAACTGTCAAATATACCAAAGTTCCTAATGCCCTGCTCTCTTTGCATTCCAATCCATGCCATGGTCTAATGGTCATCTGAGCAAATGTGATGAACCTACATAAAAGAACTGTACTGTAACTTGGTGTGAGAAAGATCTATGTGCAGTGGTCAGCTTGACAGTAGAGTTTACTTTCAGTTGAGGAGACAATCAGCCAATACACACCAGGAAAGAGGGAAAGGGGGAAGGAATACCCTGAACTCACTAATCTTTTTCCCTCTGTTTTTGTTTGTTTTTTTTTTCCTGGTGCTCTTCATTGGTTAAACCCAACTGGAAACAAGAGAGGAAGAGAGTCTTTTGATACACATTCCCAACAGGTCAACCTTCTGAGGAAAGTAGAGAGTAGCTCTGGAAAGGCAAAAAGAAAATGTTTTGCATATTCTGTAAGAAGGTCACAAATGTTCAAACTCCAAGTGATTGTTTCACAAGTCATTGTTTATTCAGTGATATATTATTTTCAATATGGTCTTAATTTGGAGATTCTGGTATTACATTCATTTGAGAGCAAATTGGTCCATATACAATGATATCAAAATAATCTCAGGAAGTTAAAATCAAACATTTTTCAGAATAATATGAACTATAACTTTAGGCAGTCCTATTACCCATGACTGCAGTGAAATATATTAGATTCCATATGAATGAGAGTCAAGGACAATTCTTATTATTTCTAAGCAGGGATATGACTTTTCCCTTCTCACATTTAGCATTTAAAGCATATGGGTCTCACTTCAACTAACAACGGAGAATTTATGCATTATAATTCATCTTTAAGAATTTCACTACTAATTGACTGAAATCTAAAAACTGCCAAGCGTTGGCTCAAGACTTGCAAAATTTGTAAGAGAAAGGAATTCAACAGATGTATTAACTATCTTTTCTTCTGTCTGTAAATTCCATCCCAGAACTAAGATACAGCACTATAAATTAAATAAATAGATCTATTGTCTCAAGTCATAAATATCCTTATTAAGCTTTTATTTTAAAATATTATTTTCCTCTTTGTACTATTATATTTTCACATTTATAGAATAATAAGTGCCTGAAACAGGTCAAAGATCTTTTTAAATGCATTTATTTAATCATCACGAAAATTACACATATATAATTTGAATAGCAGTTTTGCTATTCAAAAGCAAAACTGAATAGCATTTTTGTGTCTTTTAGAAAATTAAAGCTGAAGATATTGTGTGCAGTGTTGACAATTACAGCACAGACAAAACACATGGGGTAAAATTTATGCCTTAGTAAAATTCTATAAAAAACATTTTTTTTTCTTAGGCGTGTGTGTGTGTGTGCGCACGAGTGCATGCAAGTGTGTATAAGTACTTCAGAATAGAAATGTTGTCTAATCCATATCTTAACATTTTAAATACAGATTTTTCACAGGTTTAGAATTTAACTGAGAGTACAGTAAGCACAGCTCATGTACCTAATGGATGCTCTCTACTTTCTCTGCACAATTTATGTGATTTTTATTTTCTTTTATATCTCTAATATATTTTTAATATCTCTAAGCCATATTTTTGCAATAACTTCCAACTTGCTGTAAGCTTTTTTTGATTCAGTTTCAAATATATAGCATATACATTCTTAATAAATAAGGTAAAATTAATCTCAGTAGCTTGCTAATATTCGCAGCAGGAAATCTGGCTGTAGTTATTAAAGACATGGAGTCATAGTTTTGCTTCCATCCACAGGAATATATCATTAAAAACAATTTCAGGCATATAAAAAAGAAAAAATCATTGTTTCACATAGGCATTGGATTACTATATTAAAAATACTTTTATAAATATTAATGAGGATCGCAAAGCATTTTACATATTTATCAACCCTTATTGACTTATTTTCCAAATACAAAGATAGCTACATGCATATAATAAGAGCAATGCTTTTTGATATAAATATATATGACGACATGGAAACACATCTTCCCCTTTTATGAGAACTTGCTGAAATGACAGATAAATCCATATAGATATTTATAACCAGTTATGAAGGAGGCTAAGGGATTACATCATTTTCGGAATACATTTTAGTCATGAAAGAGAAAAAATAACCAAGAGCAACAGGTTCTTTAGTTTTAATTTCTAGAAAAGCACCATTATCACATTGAAATTCTTATTCATGAAAGCAATGTTCTGTAGCCTGGACACTTGGGGACACCGTTAACCCACTGGCAGATGCTTCCCTGGCTCTTTAATGTGTCTGTTGAGTGGTGAAATCTGCTTTGCTGTATTTTTCCATTTTCCCAGTCAGAGTTGCTCTCCACCTTTCCCCACCCTGCTTTATACCAGTGGTATTTGCTCTGTTTAGACTAAAGGAATGTCTGTGAGCCCCAGGAGATTAAAGGTATAACGGAGTTTAAAGTCAGGTACAGATCCTCCTGATTATCTCCTTGCATGGATATTTTAGTTGGGCTGCGATCCTTAAAGTTAGTTGTAGCTTCTTTAAATGTGAGCCTCTCCACAAGACTTTCTCCTTGCACGTTCTAATAACTATTTCACTTTTTCACATCGAGGAGTGGTAACTTCTCTGTGATCTCTGCCGTGGGTGTTGTACCATTCTTATGAATTGCCAGCATTCTGTCCATACTTAAATATGTATTTTCTCCGTTAAACTATCCTGATATGAATGTGCCATCCATTTCTTTTTGAAACTTTTATTAATATAAATGGCTTAGCAGTTTTGCCTTCTCTTGGTGCCTGGGCCTTATCCCTTAATCCACTGCTGTTGTTATACTGGTTGCATTTGCTTGCTTGTTTCATTCTGACACAGTGATTTCACCGGCACATCTTACTTTTGAAGTTTTAAACTTGGCAACCCGGTTTATATCACTCAGCCTTGGCTGTCATCAAAGAACATCCTATAATGAAGCAGATGATTGGGTAAAGTGTTGCTATTTACTGTCCTTGGTCTGAGACAGGAATGCCTTAATGATCACTTCTCTTATGATGGGCTGCCTGTGATCAAAGCCACGCTGCTCAAAACTGTACTCATCTCTTTTCTATCATGTAGACTGTTATAATCCACATGCAGATGGGAAGGAAACAAGGAGCACTGGCATTATGTAAAGCTAATTCTTACTTTAAAAATATCACAATGAGGTCATTATTTTAAGTATATTACCCTGATGCTTTCAGGATATTGTTATATCTATATCTACCTACCTACCTAGCTGTTTATGAGTTTATCTTTAAATCTCTCAACTTTTCAAGTTTTTCAACTCATAACCATCCTTGGTAAACATTTTGCCATGGTTTACACGATCTTTTACAATCTGACTCTATTTTATCTCCCCAAACTTACAGAATTGCAATCAAGGGCCTATATGTCAAAATTATATAATAATATTTCATTTTATATGGGTCTTGTAAGAAAAAAAATCATGATCTTTGCAAAATCTTCCATCAAGTCTCTCCTTGAGTGCTAAATGAGAAGAAGATTAAAAATAACACATAATGTTAAAATTCCTAATTTTATCTCCCAGATAATTAAGTGTCAATTTACTATCTAGTTTGGGAGTTGATTCACCGATTAATTCCTTACCTTTTCAAAAAGGGTACAATTCTTCACCCCAGGTCTTTTCACTCTAGTTTAACATTTTCCTCTCTGTCTGGAAAATATCTTCTCCTATCCCCTGACAACATCAACTAGTGCTTGAAAAGTGACTGAGCTTGTGACTCAAACCTAGCATCACTGGTATGTTTTTCTCAAACCTAGAAACTCTGGCGTGTTTTTGACGAAACTAGAGCATTTCTTCAGTCTGAATTTGTTTCACATTGCTGCACACTTTGAATAGGATTTATCCCCTTACAACTGTGTCTTTGGTCCTCACTCCTTGGGTAGGAAGATTATCAGGTGTAGTCCCTGTCATTTCTCTACTATATGGAACTAAGTTTCTGAAGAATTCTCTGTTTCCAGGTCTATGGCAGGGAATGTACAAGATAAGCTTGACATCTCATTGGACCTGAAATTATGGAAGTACTCAAAAACTAATGGGTACATGAAAAAAAAAAGGTGGGGAGGTCACAAATATTCAAATGCTCCCTGTTAGCTGAATTGGGGATAATCTGAGCATCAAAATATATAATGATAGTAGTGGATTATAACCAATTTAATAAACTAGAAATTCACCAGCTTAGACTGATACACATAAATGAAGAACTGTAGCTTGTTCTTATAGTAACATGAAAAACACTATATGGGAATGAATGATGCTGTTAGGACAATAACCATTTAACATAGTAGTAACTGGTTAGGTGAGAAACATCAATGGGTAAAAAAACTAGTAATCGATGTTTGATAACATATGGTATATCTACATAGTGCTAAAGTGTCACCCCCCCCCAAACAATTTGTAAATTAAAAAGTAACTTCACAATGGAAAAATCTAGAAGATACCCCTTTTACAAAGTGATCAAAGTTAACATCACCTATGAGAAACATATAAACTATATTTATATACATACATATACATATATATTATACATAATTGAGTGTTTTACATATTTTTTTGATATTTTTGCTGCAAAGGGCATTATTTGGGAAAATATGAGTAAAATCTATAAACTAGTTTTTATCAATAAATTTCAAGTAAAAATATGTACATTTTCTTAGTAAATAAACAGTAAATTATTTAGAGGTAAAACAGCATGTCTTCAACTAACCCTCAAGTGGTTTAGGGAAATAATAAAAATATGTGTAAATATGTAGTGCTTAGTGATAAAGCAAATGTGTTAAAATATTTACAATTGGAGAATCTGAACGTCAGATGGAAATTCTTTGTTATGATTTTGAACTTTTCTAAAATTATTTCAGAAAAGTAAAACAAAAGTAGTAAAAGTCATTGTATTCGTTTTCTAGGGATGCCATAACAAAATACCACAGAGTGTCTGGCTTATGCAATGGTAATATATTTTATCACATTTTTAAAGGCTGAAAGATCAATATCAAGGTGTTGGCAGTATTTAGTTATTTTGAAGCCACTTTCCTTTGGTGTAAATGGTCATTTTTTCTCCATTTCTTCATATGGCCTTTGTGGGAATTAGTGTTGTGATCTCTTCTTCTTGTAAGAACTCTAGTTATATTGAATTAGGTCTCACCCTAATTACCTCATTTTAATTTAATTACCTCTTTAAGGAACCTATCTTCAAATACAGTCACATTCTGAGGTACTAGATATTACAACTTCAAAATATGAATTTTGAGTACAAACCATTCAGATCATAACATATATAAGCCTTTAAATTAATTAACAATATTTCATGGCCAATTGATATGAAAATGTTTTTTAAAAAGTTTTAGAGTCAGGTGGTACTTGTGCAGGTCTGTTACATGGGTATAATGCATAATGCTGAGGTTTGGGCTTCTAATGAATCCATCACTCAAATAGTAAAATAGTACCCAATAGGTAGCTTTTCAACTCTTTCTTCCCCTACATCCTCTCTGAGTTTCCCAGTATACATTATTTCCATCTTTGTGTCTATGTTTACCCATTGTTTAGCTTCCACTTGTGAGAAGATGTGTTGATTTTCTATTATTTTGAGCCATGTTCCTTTGATGCCTAGTTGAGAGTTTTTATGAAAAAGCCACGTTGGATTTTATCAATTATTTTCTGCATTTATTAAAATAATCATATAGATTTTATTTTTAATTCTGTGTATGTGACATGTCACATTTATTGAGTTCCATATACTGAACCATCTTTGTACCGCTAGAACAAAACCCACATGATCATAATGAATTATGTATTTGATTCAAGTTTATAACTTGTTATTGATCTGGTAGGGATTTCAATTTCTTTCTGATTCAGTCTTGGGAGTTTGTAGGTTTCCAGGAATTTATCCATTTTCTTTACATTTTTCTGGTTTGTGTGCATTGCAATGTTTATAGTAGTCTTGGGATAACTTATATTTCACTGATATCAGTTGTAGTGTCACCTTTATCTTTTATGATTGTGCTTATTTAAATCTACTCTTTCGTTTTATTGGTTGAACTAGCCAGCAGTCTATCAATTTTATCATTTCTAATATTGCTTGGATTTGTGTCCCTGACCAAATCTCATGTTGAATTAGAGGAGGGCCCTGGTGGGAAGTGACTGGATCATGGGGGTGGATTTCTTCCTTGCTGTTCTCATTAGAGTGAGTTCTCCTGAGATCCAATGGTATAAAAGTGTGTGGCACTCCCCCATTTTCTCTCTCTCTCTCTCCCCTTCCACCATATAAGGAAGGTCCTTGCTTCCTTTTTGCTTTCTGACATGACTGTAAGTTTCTTGATGCCTCCCAGTCATGCTTCCTGTTAAGCCACAGAATGGTGAGTTAAATTAAACCTCTTTTCTTTATAAATTTTGTGGTCTCAGGTGGTTCTTTATAGCACTGTGAATACAGACTGATATAGAAAATTGGTACCAGAAGAGTGGGACACTGCTATAAAGGTACCTGAAAATGTGGAAGTGACATTGGAACTGGGTAATGGGTATAGATTGGAACAGTTTAGAGGGCTCAGAAAAAGACAGGAAGGTGTGGGAAAGTTGGGAACTTCCTAAAGGCTGTTAAATGATTTTGATCAAAATGCTGATAGTGATATGAAGTCTAGGTGAGGTAGTCTCAGATGGAAATGAGGAAATTATTGGGAACTGCAGTAAAGGTCACTCTTACTATCCTTTAGCAAAGAGACTGATAACATTTTTCCCCTGCCCTAGAGATCTTTGGAACTTTGAACTTGAGAGAGATGATTCAGGATATCTGGAGGATAATTTGCAACCTGATCATTTGGTAGAAGAGAAAAACCCATTTTCTGGGGAAGAATTCAAGTCAGCTACAGAAATTTGCATAAGTAAAGAGCTAAATGTTTATAGCCAAGACAATGGGAAGAATGCTTCCAGGGAATTTCAGAGATCTCCACAACAGCCCCTTCAATTATAGGCCCTGAGGCCTAAGAGGAAAATTGCTTTAGTGGGCCAGGCCCAGGGGCAAGCTGCTCTGTCCAGACTCAGGACAGGATACCCTGAGTCCCAGCTACTCCAGTTCCAGTCATGGCTAAAATGGGCCAAGGTATAGTTTCGACTGTTACTTCAGAGGGTGCAAGCCCCAAGCCTTGGTGTCTTCCACATGGTGTTGGGCCTGCAGGTACACAGAAAGTAAGAGTTGAGGTTTGGGAGAGTCCACCTAGATTTCAGAGGATGTATGGACATGCCAAGATGTCCAGGCAGAAGTCTGCTGCAGGGGCAGAGCCTCATGGAGAACCTCTACTAGGGCAGTGAAGAGGGGGAACATGTGGGATTACAGCTCCCAAATAAAGTCCCCACTGGGGCACCACCTAGTAGAGCTTTGAATAGAGGGCCACCATCCTCCAGACCCCAGAATGGTAGATCCACCAACAGCTTGCACCATGCACCTGGCTGGCTTTGAGCTGCAGGCACTCAATGCCAGCCCATGAAAGTAGCCACAGGGACTGTAACTTGCAGAGCTACAGGATTGGAGCAAACCCAAGGTCATGGAAGCCTACCCCTTGCATCAGAGTATGCTGGATATGAGACATGGAGTCAAAGGAGATTAATTTGGAGCTTAAGATTTAATGACTGCCTGCCTAGGACTTGCATCAGTCCTATCCCCTTCATTTTGGCTAATTTCTCCCATTTAGAACGGTAGCATTTACAAAATGCCTCTACCCCCACTGTATCTTGAAAGTAGATGACTTGTTTTTTATTTTATAGAATCATAGGTAGAAGGGACTTTGTCTTAAGATGGGACTTTGGACTGTGTACTTTTGAGTTAATGCTGAAATGAGTTAAGACTGTGGGACTGTTGAAAAGGGATCATTGTATTTTGCAATGTGAGAAGAACATATGCACTCAATACTAGAGCACCTGGATTTATAAAACAAATGCTACTAGACCTAAGGAAACAAATAGACAGTAATACAATAATAGTGGGGAACTTCAACAGCCCTTTGACATGACTAGACAGATCATGGAGGTAAAAAACCAACAAAGAAACTCTGCACTTAAATTGGTCTCAGCTAAATGGTCCTAATAGACATCTCTCTCTCTCTCTCTGTGTGTGTGTGTGTGTATGTATATATATATATTGCACCATGTGTATGTATATATATATACACACACACGTATATATAAAGTGTTTCTGCTGAGAGATCTGCTGTTAGCCTGATGAGATTATCTTTGCAATTTGGCCTTTTTCTCTAGCTGCCTTTAAGATTATTTTTTGTTGTTAACATTTATCTTGGGTATTCTAATGACTGTATGCCTTGATGATGGTCACTTTCTGTTATCTTGCAGGTGTCTTCTGAATTCTTCTCTGGATGTCTACTTATCTAGCAAAATTAGAAAAAACATTCCTGAATTACTCCATCAAATATATTTTCCAAGTTCCTTACTTTTTGTTTTTGTCTCTCTGAAATGCCTGTAAGTTTTAGGTTTGATTGCTTCATATAATTCCATCTTTGTCAAAGTCTTTCATCTTTAAAATCTTTATTTTTTTGTGACTAGGTTAATTAAAAAGACTGGCCTTGGAGCTCTGAAACTGTCTCCTCTGCTTGGTCCAGACTACTGTTAAGACTTTCACATGAGATTTAAATTATTTCAGTGAATTTGTTATTTTATGTATATATAAAATATTGCATATATTATATATATTTTATATATTGCATATATTATATTTTTACATATATATAGTGTGTGTGTGTATGTGTGTGTTTTGGTTTTCAACTTTCTTGGATTTCATTGAGCTTCCTTACAATTCATATTTTGAATACTTTATACTTTCATAATTTTATACATTGCTTGAGAACTAGTGTGATCCTTTGGGGGTGTCAGGACATTCTGTTTCTTCACAATGCTGGAATTATTGTTCTGGTTCCTTCTCATCTGTAGAAGCTCTTGTTACTTTTTAATTTACTTTCATTTAGGTTAGGTTTTTATCTCCCTTGAGCATAATACTGTTACATATACTGGGTAGGATTCTTTAGATTTGCTTCTTTGTGCTTTTAGGGGGCCAAGGATTTGTATGGCTTCCCTGGTTATAGATAGCTTTAGTGCAATGGTTTTTTCAAATAGTTGTTTGTGACTTGTAGTAGTGGTGTGCTGTGCTTGTGGGTCAGGCTCACTGTCTCCTGCAGGGCTGGGAAGGTGAAGGTGTTGATAGGCTTCTCTTATTCCTCAGCACTGTACACTTCTGTTAGGAGAAGTATTGGGTTATGCAGTTCAGCGTGCAGTCCAGTAGGTAGTGTTTGCAGGTAAAGGCCAACTGAATGCTATACACTGACGTCAGCAAAAGTTGTGGGCCATGCAGGTAGACCTCCTGACCAGTAGGTGGCACTTGCAGGTGAGAGCAGTGGTATTAATGTCAATGGGATTTTTTACTTTGCCTTTGTTTTTCAGGGGAAGTATTGGTGATGACAGGGAGATGAGGCTCCTGGGGTGGTACCATCCTGTGCTCTGCTACCATGCAGACTAGAGGGGGCAAAGCTGGGCAGGGCTGGGTTTGGTGAGCTAGCAACCAGATTCTTCAAAGTGGGCACAAGAACTGACCTTGGCAGAGGTTCTAAGGGCCATTCTCTGGCTGCTGGGATAACCTTCAAGAGAGGGATGGAGGCACCACTCCTGTGTCACAGAGCTCACTTAGGGGAAGACCAAGACCTGGGGTTTTCAGCCCATTAGGCAGTTGGGGGACCTATGCAGCTCGCAAACACCCAACCAAGAGAGTGTCCCTCCAGAGTCCAGCCCTGGCAACAGGCCCAATCAGTTAGGCTCATCCCATGCCATCTGCACCCAGATTGTGCCACTTCAGGCATTCCAGACCACAGGAGTCAGTGGGGGGGGAAAGCTGACTATCAGGTTATATTGTTCCTGATTCAATCACATGAAGGGAGGCATATCCAGCTCCTGTAGCACCATACTAAGCAGTGCTACCTCTTCTCTCTGTTCTGAAAGTGAGGGCTACCCTCCCACTTGAGATCAGGCCAGATATTTGATCTTCATACTGAGCAGTGTGCTCGAATCCCAGGAAATTAGGTCCAGGCCAGGTGATTTGTCCTCTGGCCCTTCAGCGACAAGTGGTGATGTGATGGGGGTGAACTGCTCCTAGGTTACCAATGAAACACTCATATGGGGCAACGGAGGCTATCCTGTTGGCTCCACCCTGTGGGAACAGCCAGAAAGGCAGTCTTGGGAGGGACCAACAGGCAAGGGGCTACATTGTTTGGAAGCACTTTGGTCCCACAGCAATGAACATGCCTGAGCCTCTCTCCTGCCAGGTAGAAGCAGAAACTGCAGCTGTTCATTGCAGGATGGAGAGTCTTGTGGTTTGGGCACTTACAAAGGGTTCCATTTTTCTGCAGCTGCCCAGCACAGCAAGCCTTCTGGGCTCCATGTGGGTTCAAGCAATGCAACTGTATTCTCTAGGCAGCTTCCTTGCCAGTCCAAAGGCTTTCATGGGGTGTGGGGGAGGGTTTGTGAGAGCTTCTGTAGCTAGGATCTCAGAGGCCTGTGGCAAGAATGTGGTGCCCTAGGGTTCGTCCACGCATCCCTTTTTTGGGTCTTTTCTGGGTTCAGGGCCCAGATCTGGAGCCCATCATCCCTGAGTAGACTACTCTGCATGTTCATCTTCAACCAAGGTGTCTTCCCTTGCCTATCAAATGTTTGTGTTTTCTCTCAAATGATTGCTCAAATTGTAAAGGTTTACTTGAATTTTGGTTCCTCTCTGTGGAAGAGGCACATCCCAGCTAGATCTAGCCTCAACCTCAAAAACTTTTTTTCCGTACATTTATTTTATCATTTGCATTATTTATTTTTATATTGGGTTTATTTACATTATTTGAATAAAATTACTGAAACATTTATCAGTATGTTATTACACACACATATATATTCCTTTTATTTTGCTTAAAAAATAACTTATTTTTCCTTTTGGTGGTGACATTTAAGCATTTAAAATCCAAGTTCAGGAGTTTTGGAGACTTGGATTGTAGGAGGTAGAGAAAAAAAGTGTATAATTTATATTTTTTCATAATCATGTTAAATATAGAGACCATTACAAGTATCTTTATGGAATAATGATTAATTCTGAAGTCTGGAAATGGAATGCATAGTTTTTCTACTTGACGTAAACACTGAAATTTCCTTTGGTAATAAGTATTCATCTTAATACTTATAAAAGTATTTTTTCTCAAATTCCAGTGCCATTTACCAAGTATAAGCTCTCCTGCCTGAATTTTGGCAGTGTTATTCTAAAAGGTTTAGTATTCTTATCATGAAAGTTACCCATTTCCAAATATAATGAAGTCACCCATCTGCTAAATACTTTTTCATGTTTTATAAGAGTCTAGAAATACTTGCTTTATAAGGTCCCTGCATGCTTATGTGCCTACTTACCTTTTAAAATTGTCTTTTAGCAGTTTTCCCCCACCACAGCGTAGTACACCAAATGATAACACATGCTGTGCCCCATCATCTCTTTCTCTGTGACACACACACACACACACACACACACAGACACACTCATTCACTCCTGCATTGATAGTTCTGGTGTATTTTTTTTTTATCTTAGCTTATATCTCCATGGAAACTTTCCTAGACCTCTGACATCTGGTCAGTAACTCTCATTTGTGACCTCATAGAACTTTATCATTTTTATTTTTGGATTGAGTAAATTGAACAATCACTCACATACCATACAATTAGCTATTTTAAAATGTACAATTCAGTGATATTCAGTATATTCACTTTAGTATATTCATTTTTACATATTGTCCAATGTTGCATAACCACTACTGTTATTTAATTCTAGTACATTTTTATCACCTAAAAAAATAATTAGCACTCATGCCTAATTCTCTCCTTCTCTTAGCCCTTGGCAACCACTATCTACTTTTGTCCCTCTTGCCTATTTTGGACATGTTATATAAATGAAGCCATGCAATATGTGATCTTTTGTGTCTGTCTACTTTCACTTACTATAATGTTTTAAGAGTAATCCATGTTGTAACATATAATAGCACTTCATTCCTTTTCATGGGAAAATAATATGCTACTCTATTGTTACATATTCTACATATTACGTAGTCCATTTTGTTCATTCATCAGTTGAAAGACATTTGGATTGTTTTCACTTTTTGACTATTAGTAATAATTCTACAATCAATATTCATGTACAAGGTTTTGTGCAGACACATGTTTTCAACTTTCTTATGTATATACCTAGAACTATAATTGCTGGAGTGTGTACTGACTCTATATTTAACTTGAGAAACTTTCATTGTTTTTCAAAACTGCTGAATCCTTTTACCATCTACCAGCAACATATTAGGCTTTTAATTTCTCTGCATCCTTACCAATACTTGTGATCATCCCCATTTTTGATAATAGCCATCCCTCTTGGGTATGAAGTGGTATCTCATTTTAGTTCTAATTTGCATTTCCCAAATTATGAATTATATTGATTTTAATGTGCTTATTTGCATTTGTACATATTCTTTGAAGAAACATGTATTCAAATACTTTATACATTTTTAATTGAATTGCTTGTCTTTATATTGGTCAGTGTTAAGAGTTTTTAACATATTCTGTATAATAGGCCCATATTAGATGATATACAAATACTTTCTCCAATTATGTAGGTTGTCCCTTCTTTTTCCTGATAATTTTCTCTGAAGCATGACATTTTCAATTTTGATGATGCTCAATTTATCTATTCTTTTGTTGGTGTTGCTTTTGGTGCCCCATCTAAGAAACCATTGCCTGATTCAAGATCATAAACATTATATAGCTATGTTTTCTCCTGAGAGTTTTATATAGTTTATGACCCATGCTTAGATATTTGACCCATTTTGAGTTACTTTTTGCATATAGTATGAAGGAAAGGTATACTTTTATTCTGTTGCATGAATATATCCAGTTGTCCTAGCACCATTTGTTGAAAATGATTTTTTCCCATTAAATTGTCTCAGCATTCTTGTTGAAAATGGTGTCATGCATCCCTCTTTCATATCCTTCATAATCACTCCATTAATGTTCTTGAGCTAACATAATATTTTGGACAGGGTTGAGTAAACAATAGAAATATCTTTTTCTCACATTTCTGGAGGCTAGAATTCTTAGATCAAGGTCTGGCAGGGTTGATTTCTGGTTAGGGTTCTCTTACTGGCTTGCAGACAGCTGCTTTCTTGATGTGTCCTCTCATGATGGAAAGACGGCACAGGAGGTCTATGGTGTCTCGGTTTATAAGGACACTAATCCTATTGGATCAGGGCTCCACCCTTCTAAATTATTGAACTTTAAGTACCTCCATTAACAGCCTTGTCTCAAAATATAGTCACATTGAAAGTTGGAACTTATACATATGAATTTTGAGGAAACACATTCAGTTCATAACACTCACTTATTTTTGTCTACATGTTCTGCTAAATTGCAAATTTCTTGTTTCACTCTCTGCCATGTTCCGGCACGCAATACAGTGCCATGCATATAGTAGGCACTAAGTAAATATTTCTTGAAACAATGAATGAATGACTGTAATCCAAAATTATAGTAGATAAAAGTGATGAATTAAATATATTTAATTTAAACATTTGTGGTATGTTTTGATAATTTCATTCTTCATGCCAATACCTTACCTAATTTTGTCACTTATCGGTGATCATAGAAGAAAAGCAGTAAAGAGAATGTTACAATGCTTTATCATTCATTTAGCTTCATTTACAAACACTATTTTAGTTTTAAGATTATTTATATGGAGAATTTTTAACTTTATTGAATCTCTGAGCCTGTGGGCACTTGCAAAAATTATTTAGGTTTCCAATGTAGGGCAGAGCTAAAAAAAATCCTTGAGATATTTTGACAAGGTAATTTCTTAAATAAGCAAATATTTTCTATTAATTTATATTTGGGGTTAATATTGTATATTTAATATCATGTACTGTATACACTGGCATTGACCAAAATATATTTCATAATTAACATCTCTTTATATGTCAAATTATTATTTCTTTATGTGCCCTTTTGATCAGAGGTAGAGTGACCAATTATAACCAGAATCAGAAATGAATAGGGAATGTGGGCTAAAATTATTATGTCACTTTTAAGTATGGTTGCTATTATTTGCATTTTAATAAAATGTGTATCTAAAATATATATTCAAGTCATTAATTCATGTATTCGAAGATCTAACATACATTTGTTGAATACCTATTTTTGCCAGGCACTGGAGACATGAATTGAAGATAAAGTTCCCACTCTCTAGGAGCCCACAATCTAAACTGAGACACACAAAAATATAGGTAGACACGAAATCATATGGTGAGTTATATGTCTCAATTGTGTAGTTACTATGAGAAGATTACTATGTAAGTAGTTATATATACTTACTATATTTGCATGAAGGAGATGGGGAAAGTTTTTAAGGTAGGTGAATAAAAATTATGCTAAGCGAGGAGATGTGGTTTTCCCAATCAGGAGAGTATCTGTAGATATAACATGGAATATCAAGCACAAAAGTTGCCAGTAATTTAGCCTAGAAACATCACTAGATATATAAGGGGAAAGGATAACTAGCAAGAACTATAAAGTATTGGTCATGAAAGAGGTAGGGTTTAACCTTTTTGTCTGTATGATAGTCAAAGCCCTAGAGGATTTTAAATAGAAAAATAGCACCAGCATTTTATTTTAGAGCAATCATTAGGCAATGAAGAATCATGAGAGAATTTCCCAGTTATTATGGTTTGGGAGACTAGAATTAGGGCTATGCAATCACTTTCCCAGGTCCCCGGCACTTTAGCCTTCATGAGCTACTTCCTCTAGGAAAAGTAATTCTTATTGGGATCATTGGTGGCCCAGGAGCATATACACTGCTGGGAATTTTTTAGAATCTCAGGTTTTACTCCATACCTACTGAATCAGAATCTGCATTGAACAAGATCCCCAGATACTTTATAAACACATTAAAGTTTGAGAAGCTCTGACTCAGATACCACTTAATTAGTGTTAGATAAGCAGAGGAACTTTTTTTCCCTGAGAAAGATGGTGATAAAATGGGGTACATAGAGATAATTGATTGTAGTTGGTTAAATCAGAGAGGCAGATACTGACTTAAACTTTTTTTCTGAGAGCAAAAGGCAAGCTTTCCTATTAATAGAGAAAAAAGACATTGGGGCTAGTGCAGTGTTATGGTCTGATGTTTGTCCTCAAAATTCGTATGTTGAAACCTAATCACGAATGTGATGGTATTAGGAGGTGTGGCTCTGGAAAGTAATTGGGTCATGAGGGCAGATCCCTCATGAATGGGATTAGTACCCTTGTAAAAGAGGCCCCAGAAAACTGTCTTGCTGCTTCCACCAGGTAAGGATACAGTGAGAAGATAACATCTATGAAAGGGCCCTCACCGGACACCAAATCTGCTTGCACCTTGATCTTGAATTTCCATGCCTCCAGTAATATAAAAAAAAATTCTGTTGTTTATAAACTACCCAATCTATGGCATTGCTTTATAGCATCCCAACCAGAATAAGACCAACAGGCTAAGAATATTGAGAAATATTATTTTCTTAGAAATAGCTGAGGAGAACAAGAGAAATAGCTGGGCAGAGATTCAGTCTGCTGCTAAGTGTTCGTGTAGTGGGGTGGAAAGAAGGTGGTTGACATCTAAGATACTTTGGTACTAGACTTCATATAATTTTTTTCTAGCAGCTCTGAGCATGTGTAGAAAGTAGCGAATTCAGAAATTTATAGCAATTTAAGATTAGAAAGAAGATAAGTTGCCAAAGATGTTGCGAGTGCTGACTAGAGAGTTAGAAAGTACTTTTAATAATGTATTTTTAATTGGGTGTGTAACACTGCTGTACTGGAACACCAATGAAGTGGAAAGGATTAATAAGCTCTGAGAAAAGGTATTCAAGAAAATGTAGAGATTAATGAGACTGAAGAACACATTTAGTGGCAGTCCAGCATAAAATATATAGGGATTAACAATCATAATCAGAAAGTGGCATGTTGGAGGTTAAATCCTTTGACGTGTGGCGGATCTAGGATTTGACACTGTCTGCAGAGTGAATCACTAAGTAAATGTCAGAGTGTGGGAGGAAAAGAGATCAAATAATTTATTTGTAAGGTGTTGGGTGATCATGCACTGAAACCCTGAAGCACCCTTTCCTTTTCCATCAAAGCTCCCAGACTGCTATGCCAGTAGAAGGCAGAAATGGGAGCCCACTGTTATGCCCCTCTGAGGAATACAATGGTTACAAAATGGTAAAAGGAGGTAAAGTGGCAAGGTGTAAAGTTCAAAGATGGTGGTGGGAATATCAGCCCTTGCAGATGGGAAACTAAAGGCCTAAAAGGGCTTTAAAAAAAAAAGTATATTTTATGTCAAAAAATTCAAATATGTGGAGAATGAAAGGGCAGCCTTCCATACAGAGAGCTGCAGGAGGGACAGTTTTTATTTCAACTACTAGATTTGAAAAACAATTTAAAAATAAACTAAGAATAAGGTAAAAATACAGAAGAAA